GTAAAACAGCTTAGTACAAAACCGATGGCAGGACGATGGGAAGCATATAGCAGGTGGACAAAAAATATTCGATAAAATGCGACCAGGCAAATCACGCAAGCTATGACTGGCCATGAAGTCTTTGGTGAGTATCTGCACAGGATCCGCCAAGGCGGGCTCTCCTACATGCTGCTGTTGCGAGGCATCAGATTCGGTCAACCATACTCTATTTGAGTGTCACGCGTATGACGATATAGAGAAACGCAAAAACAGTATATGGTACGAAGATCATCTAAATGTAAATGTCGGAAACCTGCTGACATTATCGAACGAAAATATCGAAGCAATTTGCGGGATGTTACGGAACATTATTATTAGTAGTTACATTATTATAGTTCAAGAGATGAATCGCCTCGAATCGTTCGAAACATGGATATATCGAAGAATGCTTAAAATTCTATAGACAGCCCATATCACAAATACCGAAGTGCTCAATATAATAAAAATAAGAAAAACATCATACTTAGGGCATATATTGAGAAATGAAAAATTTTACGTCTTCCAATTGATAGTTAAGGGTAAGATTGAAGGAAAGAGAGGTCTCGGCAGGAAGAAACTATCTTGGTTGAGAAACATCAGAAACTGGACTCACCTAACTTTTGAAGAACTAATAAGGAAAGCCGGGAATCGTGAAGATTTTGCCAATGTGATCGCCAACCTCCACGAAAAAGACGACACGTAAAGAAAAAGAAAGAAACATTATGAAGAAAAAGACAAGGACAAAAAATACAAAATTTGGATACAGACAAGACCATAACAACATAGAAGAATAGATAAGTCTCTAATCTGAATAAAATACCTTCTGCGGTACCGAGATTGGCGAGCTTAGAGCACAGATGGGTTTTGAGTGGGTAGACCCTCTCGCATGAGGGAGATCCCCACACTCCCGTCGTAAAGGCATTTCCCATCTATAAAAAAAAAGAAAATAAAAGAGCTTGCAATATTTTCCATCCATCGTTGCAAATTTATAGAAACATATATTCCTTACTATATCGAAGAGCCATCAGAACGGTCGAAAGCAGTAATTGTTGCAACAGATGTTCTTCATACTCATGCCGTAAAAGAACATGAGGAAGAACTACCAGTTGAAAGTGAAATGCACGACATTGAAAGTATACCCATTAGGCAAAGCAATTTCGACACAAGGAAAAAAAATAGAAATGGGAAGATAACTTACATACATACTTACATAACATAGTCATACTCAAATACTAGGGCTGGCATTTCTGGTCTTGGGTGCCCATTTTCGTGTGTACGCTTAGCAAAATAAGATGTACTGAATAAAGACAGAAGGCAAGTATTTTCCCAAGGGCATGAAATATAACATCAGATTAAGTGGTTATGTAATAAATATTTCGTATTTTCGCTCCCTACGACTTACTAGATTGCCATAACGATTCATATACATGTAAACGCCGACCCAAGGTTTCGGTTGCCAGCAAGGTATAAATTATTACAATTTTTTTTTCCTAGTTTTAAGAAACTTCTTGTATATTAACATCAACCACACGATCAACACAAGTGTTGACAGCATTAGAACTACTACTTCATTGTTTGACTATAGATTGTTCAGAAAATAATTATTCGTCCATTTATAATTCTTTTGTCCTTCCATGGCTTAAAATTAAGTCTAATGACATAAATATATTAATAGTAGGTCCTAAAATCTACATAAACATAGTCTCAAAATGCTGCACAAGTCGCATATTCCTATATAAAATTGACTACAAAATACGCTACTGCACCAAAATCCGTCTTATCCATTTATACCGTGTGATCGAATAAAAAACGGCGTCCAGTTGGCTTGAAAATGACGATCGATTACATACCCATATAATTTTACATAGAAAATGACAGCAATCTTCTTCATTGTATTGCCTTTTATGTATCATATTGTATTTGCTTTTTATTGTCATTATTGTTGCAAATTACGGATTTTTCATAGGCCTTGAACACAAGTATAATATTGGTACTGACGTCTTATCCATTTCAAATCCTTACCTAATTTTAGCAAACCCCTCAATATGCATCATACAGCAAGGAAACTTGCCTTATCCAAATTATTTTTGTGTTTTTCTCTTTAAAAATTAAATATTTTTTTATTTCTAGAAAAACCAGATACAAAACAATGATTCCACTTAATGGGTAACTTTTTTTTTAATAATGCTTCAAACATTTGCTAAAACAGTTTTTACGTATTATCTCGAAACAACATTTTTGGAATATGACGGGTTTTCCAACTTGACACCTCATTTATAAATATAAAAGAATTTTTGTGTATTAATTTTGTATGTGTCAAATTATACAGATACCCGACGACAATAGGTTATTTTTTTGTAATTTTTTATCCAATTCAAAACACAAACTAACGCCAAAGGTAATTTTGCCCGATTTCAATATAGTAATACCCAACTATTTTTAAATACAAATAAACGAGACATTAAGATATACATACATTAAAGAAAACTGTAAAAGGTGTATATCTGACGGCTAAATATTTTACAGTTTTCTTATTCTGCATAAATTTATTTGATATCTGTGTTGTTTTTAATATTTGTTGTAATATAATAATTATTAGTGTCAACACGTGTCTGTGATATACACTAACAGCACGCGCTCCTGGCCGTATAAGTTTATATTTCCTCAAATTTCCGTCAGAGCCTATAATGTTTAATACACTATGAATAAGCATTCGCCTCTCCTCATTAGCCAGACTTAATTAAACCAAGGTAATTACTCTGATTGAAACGTTAATTTTATCTGATACTTCCTAACTTTCTCAAGAAATATATTGGAAATTGCTTGCCAAGCAGTGCCCGCTCCATTTTCGCTAAAACTAATACCGAACAAAGCCTCGCCATTAGTTTAACCTTTGTATATCCAAACAAAGAACTTTTAAGGTTGAAAATATACAATGAACGAAGAATCTTTTAGATGAATTACAATCTTCGTTAGAGCTAGAGCACTGGAAAAATTCGGAGGTAAAATAAAAAGACCTCGAATTTGTATTAGGTAGTTTGTATAAAAAGGAGTTTGTAAATAACAGTAAGAAGTTTTTAAATAAAATCAAAAAATTATTTCAAATCCATACAACTACATTAATTGACAGTTTTACTATTATAAGGTAGTATATTTAAACTTAATAAAGATAGTAAATTGGTTCCAAATTGCAACATACACAGCTGTTCTACAATTTCCTGTTAAATGTTTTCTTATTTTTTTCAGCAATATAATTTTTTTGGACTTAAAATGATTTAGCTTTATTCATTTTGGCATAAATCGTGACTTAATATAAATTAAGCTTAATACAAGGTAAGTCCTGTAGATGTTTTTTTTTCTAATATACAAATTATGTTTAGTCAATCAAAAAAAATGTTGGTATTTGTAATTTGTAATTGTATTGGTAATTTATTTAAAAAACTGTTTTACATTTCATTTAAGTTCAAAATAAGTTGTTCATATATCAAATATGACAATTATAGGTTAAAAAATAACAGAGTAATTGGGAAGTAACTTCGAAAAAAAAATGAAATTCGTTTTTCTCAAAACTGTGTTTTGTGACTTAAATTGGTTTGGTTCTGAGGTACAAATATAGACATAATTTTCCCACATAAATTATACGATATATAAAGATCCAAGTTTTGCAAAGTGTACGCAAAATATACAGGATGTCCCAAAAATAAGTGCAAATATTTTAAGGGGTGGTAGATCTCGATAAAAGAAATATGTTTTCTCTTTATCGTTTTTCAAATAACTCCAAAATAACGGAGTTTACTTTGGAAATTTCCAAAAAAAAATGATTTTTTGCTAAAATTTTGAGAACCATTGGATCTTTTCTGGATTTTCTTTCTTGTAAATTTAATCAAATACCTATGTTACCATATTATCAAGAAATTATGTTTTTTAACTAAAAACTAAAAAAAAAATCCAAAAAATTTTTCAAAAAATTTCAAATTTTCAAAAAAATTGTTTACGCGAAAAAAAACCTCATAGGCGTATTTCTGGGGTTAAACTATACTACCAGTTAAAATACTTGCACTTATTTCTGGGACACCCTGTATTGTTATTTTGTGTTTCCCAGATACTTATATTTTCTTTACTTTACTTTATTGTTTCTGACATATACTTTCTTAAAATTTATTTCCAATAACTGAAAACATTCTAGGACTTACTTTTTTAATAATTAAATATTTTCTGGTTATAATTGTGGAACTAAATAACAAAACAGTGTAAAATGTAACTGTACAGGGTGTCCCAGTAAGAATAGCTCTCGGCTGTATCTCGGAAAGAATTAGTCGTAGAGTTAGCGGAAAAAAATATTTATAACTAATGAGACCATGAGAAATTGCTGGAAATTATTTTCAAGTTTGTAGGACGGCCGCTAGAGGGCGTAAATTTTTAAAAAATTTTACCCCGATACGGTGTAATATAAATAATAGTTTCATAAACTTCAGTTAATTTTGGATCTTTTTTGTTAGAACCATTTTCCCCTATCTGCTAAAATAAAGTGGTGGGGATAGTGATGGGTTGTTATTTAACTATCTGTTATTTTATAACAATTATTTATAAATAACATAACGCAACCGTTACTACTTCTAAAAAATAACAGATATAAAATAACGACACGTAGAGATCGGCCTCTCGTGAAACGAAAAACGAAGTCGGCGCTCTGCATCACCACGAAATTCTGTGCTGCTCGAAGCAATTCCAAAAAACAACTAGTATTGATGGAAAACATGTTATTTCGTCAACCATCGATACAGGAGGCGAGACAACGGACGTAGCCGAGGTGGCGGTATTCGTACTACAAGTCAAAATTCCTACCATCCGAACGTCACTTCGAGCATGTTCGGTAGTCCTAAAAATTCCTATTTTAAGAATTTTGTCCTGGCTAACGTATTAAATCTGTCAACGTCGCATACTTTTCAATCTTGTTTTGTTTTTGAATTTGACAAGATTAACCTCAGAAAAAGTTTAAAAATTATAATTTTTATGAACATTGACGAATAATGTTATGAATAATGTAATAGAACCTGATATAAAATAATCCGGAAATATTTACAAATAAAGCATAAACAAAATGAAAGTGATAGCAACACGATTACCTTTGATAATGTGTTTTTTATATAAGAATACGTCTACATAGGTTGAAATCTCAGGTGTGTATCTAGATAATATGTATTCAAACAAAAGCTGTAAAACGATTAACAGTTTTTAGAAAATATTAAGCTATCCACAAATTCCTGAAAATAGATTAGCCGTGATTTGCAGAAAAAATGTTCTTAATTATTTTTCCCACATGATGTCCTTTCAGGTTCCAGGTATGTGATATTGTTTTAATTGCAAGATCTACATGTAGCTTACAAAAATTCATTCTTCAGGAAACAGCACGGGCATGTATTAGGCATAATAAGTAATTATAAAAATATGAGCAAAAATGAGATGGTTTAAAAGAGTGAAAATTTTAAGGTTAAGAAATCTGAAACTCAAAGGAAAACTGATTAAAAACTGATAAATAAGTACCGTTAAACTGGAAAAGCAAACTAGTAAGTATTTTATTATGAATCTATTCACTATAACATTGTGGTATTTTACGAAATGTATTTCTTTTGAATTACAGCTATACGCATAATACAAAAGACAATTTATCATCTTTAAAACCATAAGGCATATGATATATGAGATAGGTAGGTATGTACCATGTGGTAGGTACAATATGATCGAAAAAAAAACGGCGTCAGTGATGGCTATGAAATGAAGATCGGTGTCTTTTATATGTAAAATTATATAGGGAATGTCAAGGATCGTCATTTCCAAGCCAACTGGACGCCGTTTTTTCGATTATATGAGACATAAGTGTCAGCCTTCCTAGACCACAGACCTTTATATTATACTTCTAGCACAAGGACATATCGGCAAGCCTTAGGTTGGTGTTTACGCGTGTAGGTGTGAATCGCTATGGTGATCTGGTCGGAGATAGAAAAATATAAAATATTTATTACATAACCACACTTAATCTGATGATTTCCTATGCATTCAATACCAAGTTCAATACATCTGATTGTAATAAGCATATTGGCCATACTCTTCATATACATGAAAATCGTATCAATCGTGTATCACATAGCACATTTAAGAGGACTGATCCTATAAAGGCATTTATTTTTGTTTTCTATTTATAACCTCGTTAACTCATTTATTTTGTAGATTTATTGAATATTAAGCTCTAGGATAAAAAAACCTGCTTAGACAGAACATGGGTATTTTCGAATACTTTATTTAGAAGATCTTGTCAGGACAATGATATAAGATTACAGAAAAATATCTGACGTAGGACAAATGTATAAAGTCTTCAGGATACCCTTCGGGAACAATTTAGAATGATGCAGCGTAAACTACAGTAAAGTCTGAACATTAAAGCATAAAGGTAAATAAATTATCCATACATGTGTGCAGCAAAGTCGTAATATAATAAATTTATTGTTTTCAGAAACAAAATCCACAACTTATTCTGCCAAATACAAATAGTACACATCTTATTTTACTAAGCGTGTTGACCGTACTCTTCATACACACAAAAATCGGCACCCAAGGCCTGAAATGCCAACTCTAGTATACCTATTCTATGTAATAAATATTTTTTTAAGTATATTTATTTGTATTATTATCTTTCTAGATTAAAATATTTTTAATCAGTCTGAGAATCAATATGAATTTATTTTTAAAAAAGAACGAGTATACCTAAAAGCAAAAATGATTTAAGTTAGTATGTCAAAATAATAAGTTAAGGTATTTTTAGAAAACCTGTATTTTAAATTGCAAAAGCTGATAGAATTTCAAATATTTTTCAAACTAAAAAAATGTATCGATCTGAATTAATTTTTCAAATATAACCAGAAAAAAATATCTATCTTAAAGTTGCAGCTGTGGTTGCAATACTCTGTATTGCTAAAAAACATTTTATTTATTAAAATTACAAAATTACGGTATAAAGTTATAAAAAAGTACTTTATAAAAAAAGATCTCCAAATTGTCAAGAAAATAATAAAAAGGGAAAATTCTGAAATTTACAGAAATTTCTTTTTCACTTTATTCCAATTATGTTAATGAGAGTGAAAGTAAAGACTATGGAGAGCTTATTCGTAGTAAAGTAACTAGTTAATTAGTTATTCTGTGTATAGCAAAGACTACCTGTAACGACCCCTAAAAGTAGTTAATAATAATTTAACATTAATAATTAGGTATTTCTTGCCTGAGTGCCTTGAGACAAAACCGGTAAAATAATAAGAACAAAATATGTGAGCAAAGGAATTCATAAAAACCGTAATATGTAAAGTTGATTAAAACAAATTACATATAAATATATATAAATACTGTAAAATCAAAAAAAAAACAGCTGGAAGAGCAGCAATTTTTTTTCAATTGTATAGTACTGTATGATCGAAAAAAAACGGCGTCCAGTTAGCTTGTTAATGATTATCGATGACATTCCCCATATAATTTTAAATATAAAATGACAGCAATCATTATTTCATAGCCGACCACTGTGACCATTGTGTATTATTCTTATTACTAATACTGCACCCAATCACTTTTTTGACAATAATCTATAAAAAATAAAAAGGTAAACAATTTTTCATATTATAAAATAATTTATTTCATTACAGGCCATAGGCACAAACCGTCATTTTTACTCCGAATAGGACATGCTATTTTTTTCAAACGTCACAAATATTTTTTTAAACAATTTCAAACTTTGCAAATAATATAACAAGATTTAAAAGTAATACCTTGTAACTAATTATACCGTATGATCGAATAAAAACGGCGTCAGCGATGGCTATGAAATGACAATCGATGACATTTCCCATATAAATTTACATATAAAATGACAGCGATCTTCATTTCATAGCCATCGCTGAGGCCGTTTTTATTCGATCATACGGTACTTATATCGAGAAACTATGGTTACACTTACACTTTGACACTTTATATCAGTTTAATAATATATTTTCGTACTTTTGTGCTTATGCGTAAAAGTGCTTTATTTTTATGCCTAGGCATTAAAATTACTTTAATTTTATCAATCACGTCGCCAAAATTAATACTTTTGTTGCGTTTGAAAAAAAATCATTTATTTGTAAGTTTTATAACATATCTAATTAAATTGGGCCGAAAGGAATCAGTTCTGAACACACATCCGTGGTTCTGAATCATTCTTAATTTATTTTTATTATAATTAATGTTATAATAATTAATGTTAGTAGATATGTCAAAATAATAAGTAAATTAGATATTTTTAGAAAACCTGTATATTTATTTAATTGGAAAAACTCATGAAATTTCATATATCTTTCAAATTAGAAATTGTATCCTAATTAATTTTACTCTATTGCTAAAAAAACGAATATTACAAAAAATTAAGTTATATTTAGTTATATAAAAGTTCACCATATTGTCAAGAAAACAATTTATTGCTTTTAAATTAAAAAATTATGTGCAAGTTAGGTTAAACTACAAGTTAAACAATATAGATAATCAAAAATTTTTTGATAAAATTTGCTTTTTACGATGTCAGATCATTTCTATGAAAAATACACTAGATAGAATACATTAGTTTTTTATTAAAGACGCTGATGGATAACTAAAACATTGACTAATAAACCTTGTCCATTTTAATATAAGAGGTCACGACATATTCCCCTTGGAATCTTTGTGAAGGTGTAAGGGGTGTATAGTGTGTAATAAATTAATCCTTGTTTTATAATAAAACCATAAAACATTTATTTGTGAGTAAAATAATGCAATGTTGGTTGTATATAAAACGCCTGCCCTCGCCTGTCCTAGGCAACCAAAAATACATATAAAAAAATCTTGTAACTTTAGATGAACTTTAGTAATTATGTCAGTAAACTCTTAATTGGGCCTCTAGTCTATTATATTTAATGTACAAATATATTATTAAATTTTAATCATAGATTAAATATTTTAATCTAAGCATTAAGTAATAAAACTATTTGTGCCCATTTATCATAAGAGGTCACTGAAATATACTCTTGGTAGTACACAAAACAGTGTAAGGGGTGTAAATAAAATGTATAATCATTGATTTTTTATAATAAAAACTATAAAACATTTATTTCTTATTTGTGAGAATAAAAAACAAAACAATGCATAATATAACCTATTTTAGAATTAGGCATAGGCAACCAAATACACAAGAAAAATAATTTAGATAAAACCTTGTAATTATTTATTAAATATGTCAATAAACTCTTAATTAAGTATCTAGTCTATTTTTATTTTATATTTACATAATATAAATACCTTACACTCTTTTTCCGATACAGAAAATTTTGTTAATTGCTTCTTGAAAATGCGACAACCTGACAACGTTGTTTTTAACGTTCGGGACGCGTTCGGGTGGACGACTCTACCCGAACAACTGGTAGGAATTTTGACTATTAGGACAGATGTGGTTCTCCCTATCCCCAACGGACAACGGAGTGGGGAATGCGCTACGGCGAACGTAGCTGCTTCGGTCGATACCGTCGATGGTCGTATTTACAACAGCTTAAAAATAATAGGATATAAAAGAAGCAGGTTTTTTGAGACAGTTGCGGGCATAACGCCTGGCGTTGGAGATGCTGCATCGGTCAATTGTCGATGGAGGCTCGCAACGGGTTGGAGAAGCAGTCATTTTAGATATGTTGTTTTTCAACCTGTTACGAGCATAACAGGGCGGCGGTCGAGATAATCAGTGTGGGAAAGGAACGCTGCTGCATCGGTCGATTGTCGATGGAGGTTCGAAACAGGTTGGGGAATAACGCCATCAGTTGTTTTAGATACATTCTGTTTCAACCTGTTATATGCATAACGGACGGAGGTCGAGATATTATGGCGCTGTATGTTTCAGTACTGACTTTATAAGTTTCAATATTTAGGTATTTATTTATTCTGAAAAATTTTCAGAATAATATTTTAAGATTTTTTAAAAATGGTGTTTTGACGGTGTTTCTTTTAAACAGGGTGTTTTGAAGAATCTGGTCATTGATTAATCAAGATCCTGCTTAAAGCCCTTGACGTAAAAAGCTGATTTTTGGAAAACGGATTGACTTTAGTGTGTAGAGGTTCGATAAGAAGGGATTTTTCGAAACTCGAATTCTAAGTGGGTGAAACTACTCTGAAATATTAGAATATTTTTTATTTAAAAACCGGTGAGTTTTTCGGAAAAACTCTTAAAACACGTATATTTTATTATGTTGTTTTACATATATTAATATTTTTTAAAAATATATACAGCGTGTTTCATAAAATATGACCATTGAGTAATCACTATTCTGCTTAAACTGCTGGACGTTTAAAGCTGATTTTTTTGCAAACGGATTGACTGTGGGGTTGAGGTTCGATAAGGAGGGGTTTCTCGAATCTCAAATTCCAACAGGGTGAAAACGCCCCTCAAATATTACAATATTTGTTATTTAAAAAACAGTTAGTCTTTCGGGAAAACGTCTGGACACGCATAATTTATTTTGTTTTTTTACATATTTTGAAATTTTTTAAAAAATCATACAGGGTGTTCCAAAAAGTTGAGTAATTGATTAACCACGATTCTGCTTAAACTGCTCGACGTTAGAAAGCTTATTTTTGGCAAATGTGAGAAAATTTTATCCAGTTTGTATGTCAATGGAAATTCTTGTTTTGCTTTATCATCACCATTAGAAATTATTAATTCGACGCAAACGAAGTCGCGGGTACACGCTAGTTTAAGTGTGAAATTAATTCGAACTCTAGTGTGTAGTTGGTTTACTTATCAAGAATATACTACACATTTTCTTATATTGCTATTTTTTGACCGCAAATGGTAAAATCATAACTAAGAGCTTCTCGCCCGTCGAGTGAGATGCACCCTGTACACTGCTAGACAATTCAGGATCTACGCGGATCGAGGGGCAAGGGCGTAGGTAGATCGCAATGTGTAGGTATAGACGAGTGGCGGAATTTTGGTTTTTTTATATCGCAATTTGTAAACAGCGCGTATTTGTAAATAACCACCGTTTTTAGAGGGGTATTTTAGATAACAATCGATATTTAGAAA